AGATACAGGAAAAGGACTAATCAGAATACAGGCAAACTTTTGTCGTCTATGATTTGTAAACCGCTATTGCCACTGAGCTAAAACCTGCAGAAAAATAGCATAAATTTAGTCTAAACCCATGTTGTATCATTTGCTGGTTCATTCAATGTCCGTTTTCAGCTTTGGGTAGTAGCAGCAGCAGCTACTTCAGGAAGCCTTTCCATTTGTCCCAGAACAGAACCAGTTGTCTTGAATAGGTCTAAAACTTCTGTTCACCAGAGAATGGTTACACTGGTTTCGAAAATGCATGCTAATCGAAACAATTCCTTCCTTTCTGCACCAAAATAGGAATAAACAACAGAAGCTGCTGCTAAGCGGAATCTCACGAAATTGAAAATTGAGATGATTGAATAATTGAGAAGTTAGAAACGAGAATACGATCCCAGGTACAAGCGGCTAAAATGAGTCTCCTGAGATCGCTGGACTCACGCGTCTCGCGACAGGATTCAGAGTTCAGATATCCGAGAGAGTCTTGATGCATGGCAACTGCATATTCGGATTTGAGGAATCACAACTGCAATGGTTTGAATATGTTGCGCAAATGCTTCAAGAAAGAAAAACGAAACAGCTACTACTTACTGAACTGATCAGCCGAAAATCCGTGGATGGATGAAAATAACCTAGGGAAAGTCTTTCACGGACTTTGCTCAAGATCAGATTATCTATTGTTCAATCTCAGACGGTAGCAAGAATGGAGAAAGCTGGAAACACATTGCGACGCTGCGGTTTCAACGATCCGAACGGAAAAGTCGTAATCGAAACTGACTAAGTGAAACGGGAAAGCAGATTTTAAACGTATTATTCGCGTAAGCTTCTTCATAAGTTTATAGTGATTCTGTGGCAACGGTTGGAGGTCACATAATTCTGTAGTTGTAGCATTTCAGTAGAAGGCCCTTTTATTAATCGAGGACACTGAATCGGTAAGGACTACTAAAAATGATGCAGACAAAATTACTTTAAAAAACTGAACTGCTAAAAGCACATCGCCTAAACGTTCAAGGATGTACAAACCTTCTTTGAACAACGGGACTTCCGTTTCGCTTAATAAAGATTTCGCGCGCGAGTAGTCGTTCAGAACAAGAGCGTATTCACCCTAAAACGACATAAAAACATTGCATTAGTTTAAGTACAAATACCTTCTCCAGATTTTCTTTCATCACTTGAGGAAGGTAAAAGAGGAATCTGAATCGCTGAATAACTGACAACGCGTTTCCCGTTGAATCGGCGCGATCTTTACGCAGCAAAACTTCTTCAAATATTCCCTTGCCACCTTGCAAACATTTTGAGATAAGTTTTTCGAGCCGAATGGTAACTGGCCATTCGTGTTCTTTCGAATCTTCTAGCATCTTATTTAAGAGAACTATAAATTACACCGGCTTTACACACTATGCGCTGTCGATTCCGGTGCTCAACTGACCGTTAGCCGCGTCCACGCAGTCTAAAATACAACTAAGGTTCGACTTCAAAAAATCTTTCGGACCTTTCTTCGCGTGAATTGACTGCTGCTTCATGTAATTAAGGCCGG